AAAAAAATACTTTTGGAACGTGATTGGAATTTTTTGTTTAGCTTCGGTTTTCGTTTCATTCATTTTCATTTTCAGCAATGGATGAGATGATGATGATGATTGTTGAACGAATGGAAAAAAAAGCAATGAATTCCTCTGTATATCCTATCTATCTTTTTTTCCCATTTATAAATGTTGTCAATGAATGAAATCACGTACACAAACGACGACGACGACTACAAAATTCTACTTTATTCTTTACTTTCAAATTCTCTCTTCAATAATAATCATCATCATTCGAGAGCTATGTGTGTGTGTATTGTATGTTTTTTCATTTTAGTCAGTCAAATTCCATACAGAAACTAAAAGAAAAGAAAAAAAATGACCGTTATATATGACCAAACAAACGAAAAAAAACTTATCATCTCCGGTTATATTTGTAGTGGTATTTATTTTTTCCGTTCTGAAAAGAATTTATCATTACCATTGTTGTTGTCCACAAGAATCTCATTTCATTTCAAGAAAAAATTCTTGATAAAGTGACCATTGTTTTTTCAAGAATTTGATTTTTACGCATGTCCATTTCGAAATCATCTCTAAATGATAATAATGATAATGGCTATAAATGGTATCCACGCCTGTTTTTTTGTTCTTTCAAATGACATGTGCACAAAAATGCAGTGTTCATATATATAACGCCCGCGCTGTTTGTTTGATACAATTTATACGTTGATGATGATGATGAAAAAAGAAGGCGGGATTATCATTATTATTTGGATTTTTTGTTTCCCGTTTTTTTTCTCGAAGAGAGATGATGTTTACCCTGTTTGGTTAGCTGAATAGTTGATGGCAGAGAAGAGAGAGAGAAGGAGAAAAAAAAGTTGGTTACCAATGACAATAATCAATGTTTGTTTGGTTTGTCTGAATGATGTTTTAGTGTGTTGTTGGTCATTTCATAGAATTTGGTTGTTGTTTTGGAATCTTTTTTTTTGTCGGCTGCTATGTAGATTTTATCCAACAGAGAAAAAAATCAACATTTTTGAATATTTGAAAATTCTTTAAAAACGTGTGTTTTTTTGTTGTTGTTGCTGTTGAATAATTAAGCCATCATCATCATCGACATTTAACCCCAAAGTGTTTCATCTTATTTATTTATTTATTCAGTTTTTTTTTCTCCAAAAAAAAAGTGTTAATATCAAGTGTTGGTAATAATCATTAAATGAATATTTTCTCGGTTTGTGTGTGT